AGTGGAGTGCTAACGACGTTGAATATAATAAATGAAGACATAAACTTCTGAGGTTGAACAAACCGCTGAATAATTTTCGACTCCTGGGCCGTCCTTCCTAACCTTTTTCGGAACGCGTTCACTAAGTCAAAGTCTTCCACTTTGCCCCTTCTCTTAATTCTTTCTTCCTTACAATAAAAAAAATATATTATTTCCTTAAATAAATAAGTAAAATCAGACCCACAAAAAGTTCATATAAACACTCTTCTTCACTTAATGCAAAGCAAACTTACATTACACATCCTCTGTTTTTATCCAGTAACATCATCATTCCTCAATATTTTATCACCCTTGAGAACTTCTGGTTTTGAGTCGAAAATTAGGTTGGTGTTTCTGACAACGGTGAAGTGATCAGAAACATGGCCGGAGGTTCTTCCAACGGAAGGTCTCTGGAGCAGACGCCGACATGGGCTGTTGCAGTAGTTTGCTTTGTGTTGGTGTTGATTTCCATCATCATCGAACATATAATCCATCTCATAGGAAAGGTAATCCCACTAATTTCATCAAATTAAGGTCAAAAGGCAGTTTTCGATCAGTGAATTTGAATCTCTAATATCAAACTTTTCTTAATTTTCCAGTGGTTGAAGAAGAGAAACAAACGAGCCCTTTATGAAGCACTTGAAAAGATAAAGTCCGGTATGCCCCCATATCATTTTACAATTAATTCATTAACTTTCTGTGCTATAAATTAATTTACAGTTAAAATAAGTTAATTTCATATTAACCTTTTTTTTTTTTTTTGGGAATTTGCAGAGCTTATGTTATTGGGGTTTATATCCTTGCTTTTAACGGTAGGGCAAAGTCTGATATCCGACATATGCATACCGGAGAAAGTTGCGAATACTTGGCATCCATGCAACGAGGACCCGCCAGAACCTGGGGAGAACGATGGTTCAGGGACAGATGAGGGGAATCATGATCGCCGGAGACTTCTCATGGTGTCGGATTTTGGTAAAAGTGTTCGTCGTTCCCTGGCGGCGGCGGGGTCCACCAATAGCAGTTGTCCTACGGTATGACCTTTTCGTTGTAAATTTCTAATAGAATTCCATTTCTTTTCTTCTTTTTGGCCAATGAAAGTATAACAGGACAAAAAAGAAAAAAATGGACAAAAAAATATTAAGTTGTCTAATAGGTCTTTTAAATTGCGTAATTTTCATGCTTATACACTTGCTTACGTGTCCGTACGACTAATGTCGAACAGCATGCAAAATTCGAAATTTCCTTTGTTACTTACCAACGATTTCGATGAATTTTCACATGGAAATGATTTTTATCTCATTTTTTTTGTATAATCTAATGTGTTATTACAATAATTAATTTTATTAATTTATATAAAATTCGTGATATTAAATATATCTATTCATTCAATAATATATGAAAATTATATAAAAAAATAATATTAAAAAACCATCCCTATAACACCACCTATTTTCACACGCTACATTGGTCATATATTCCTTTTTTTCCTTCATTTCTTGGAATTTTATTTACAAGAAACATAAAGAAAATCAAAGTATGTATGTACTATACACTTAACCCATTGAATGTGAAAAATGGACCTTGCCAAATTTGAATTACATCTTAATTACAATCTTGGATACAAATTTGTAAATCTATTTAATTAGATTTAAATAACATTGTTGATGTTGTGAATGAGCAGGGAAAAGTCCCATTTGTGTCCTCCGATGGGATCCACCAACTCCATATTCTCATCTTCGTGCTAGCAGTCTCTCATGTGCTCTATTGCATTCTCACCATGGCATTAGGCAGACTCAAGGTATGCATATCATGAATCCCGAAAATTTTGAATTTTAGAGATCACTCATGCAAATACCGTAGTGTAATCTGTCATATACGGTGCATTATTTTTAATCATTAATAACATAGTGAGTTTTTAATATTAAGAAATTCTCTTTATTAATGATTACAAGAAATGTAGTTTATATAAAATAAAATGTAATTTTTTTTAGTTAATTTATATGATCTTAATTTCTTCCTCTGTTGATACTTATTCAGATGAGAAGTTGGAAGCGGTGGGAAGAGGAAACTAAAACCATTGAGTATCAATTTTCTCATGGTTAGTACACCAAATTGATAATCCCTACAAATTAAATTAATTCACAATAAAGTCCATTCTTATACCATATGAAAAATTAGTGGTATATATGTAAAACATGCTTCTTTTTTTTTTTGCTTTGCATATAATTTGTCATGGCAGATCCAGAGAGGTTCAGGTTTGCAAGGGAGACATCATTCGGGAGAAGACACTTGAGCTTTTGGACCAAAACACCCATTCTCATGTGGATTGTAAGAAAGAAATTAACCCTTTTTCCACCTTTTTTTTTTTCTTTAGATTAACATAATATAAAATCAATGTCAAAATCAAGTTTTAATTTTTTTTTTCATATAATTAAATGTAAAAAATATATATGCATGTGTATTATTCATATTGTTTTTAATAGTCAAAGATATTGACATTCCTTAGGTAATATTAAGTACAAATTAGAGTATTAAAATTATAAAATCCACTAGAAGAAATATTGATCCACCAGAGAAGAGTGAAAAATTAAAAAAAAAAAAATAGGACAACGGTCTCACTCAGCTAGCCTCCATAGACAACGACCACAGATGGGCACGACTACCCAAATATATACAACAGCTTGCCATTTCCGTTGCTATGAGTATTTGACTTTTATTGTATGGTATATAAATAAAGAGCAAAGAGTAAAATAAGAGTCTTTTTAATTTTAGTTTTTAGGGTATAAATTAAGAGTTTTAAAAATATAAGTTATTTAACTTATTATTTATTTATATGACAATAATTTTAAAATTAATGTTAATTTTTATATTTTGTTAATAAATATATGATAAAAATATGTTTTTAAGATATAAGTTAAAAATCCCATAACATAAAAGCTTTTAATTCTTCTTTTTGTTTGAGTTCTCAATTTTATTTTAGTTTTTGGTTTTGTAACTTTATTTTTTCATTGAAAAACAGAAAATAATTTTCTTTTTAGAACTAACAAGAAGTTATTATGGATAATTAGAATTAAAAAACTTTCCTATATATGATTTTGCTAAACTTTGTTCTTTTTGGGTTCAGGTTTGTTTCTTCAGGCAATTTGTGAGGTCGGTGCCTAAGGTGGATTACTTGACCCTTCGACATGGATTTATCATGGTAATTAAATCTTGTCTACCTTTCATTTATCAAACTTGAAGTTGATGCATTTTTTTTTAATAAGGATAATATTTTACAGATATTCTTATTATAGTATAGGAAATGAGAGAACAATCTCTAAAAAAATTAAACATTAAATTCAGAGTGATATTTTTATTAAAAAATAAGTCACTAACTATTTGGCCAATACGTGTGCAGCTAATACATTTTGAAAATGAGTTTTTTAAGTCAGAGAGACCAGATTTCAAAAGATTATTACCTTCCTTATTGAATTTGTTCATTTGTTGCACAGTAATATTTAGGCTTTTAAATTTGATAGGTTTTATCATTGTTAAATTTTTTGTGATTGTTTTATTTTACTTTGTGATTTAACACTTTTGTAAAAGTTTCAAATAGTACTCTTACTACAAAAGCTACAATTATGTCAAATTAACATGCTGTAAGTATTATGTTAATTTGGAATTGTTTACTTAACAATTACAGGCACATTTGGCACCCCAAAGCCATGTCAACTTTGATTTCCAAAAATACATAAACAGGTCACTTGAAGAAGATTTCAAGGTTGTTGTGGGAATCAGGTAAAACAGTGATATGTGATTTTTTTTTTTTTTTTACTATTACTATAATCCTAGCTACTCAAATATATAAGTTTCCAAGAATTACAAACTTAAGCCGGTACTTTTTCTCTATGTTCAATTTCAGTCCTCCAATATGGTTCTTTGCGGTGTTCTCCCTACTCTTTAATAGACATGGTGAGTAATTTTTCTTTCTTTAGACAAACATTGATTCTCACTTAAAATAAGACGAAATCAAATGGGTACTCCTATTTTTTTGCAAAAAATTTGAAGTATCACTTCGCATAAAACACAAAAGTTGAGACCCACATTACTTAGTACCAATAAATTGGAGGACTAACTCCCTACATTTATTTTTTATTTTATTTTAGTATATGTTAAAGCCCAAATCATTTGACAAATTTATATATTTTGTGTGTGGACAGGATTTCATTCTTATATGTGGCTACCATTCATCCCATTAATTGTAAGCAAAAAAAAAAAAATTTGTCTTTTCATCATTAATCAATCAATGTTTATCAGCCCTACATGGGGCCACAAAAATGATTATTGATCCGACGAAGTTAGTGGCTGATGATAAGAGTTTCAACCATGCAGATCATCCTTCTGGTGGGGACTAAGCTACAAGTGATCATAACCAAAATGGGGCTCCGAATCCAAGAGAGAGGAGAGGTGGTCAAAGGAGTCCCCGTCGTCCAGCCCGGCGACGACCTGTTCTGGTTCAACCGCCCCAGACTTCTCCTCTACCTTATCAATTTTGTTCTATTTCAGGTATTTTTTTTCTTAATTATACACAATTTTTTTTGTCTAAAAAAACCTTTTTTTTTTGGGATTTTTAATGTAATAATTTCTTTTTTTCTTTTTTTTCTTTTTTACATTACAGAATGCCTTCCAGCTTGCTTTCCTTGTATGGACTTTGGTAAGAAATTACAAAAAAGAAAAACAAAAAGGGAGAAATTACTTTTTCTTTTTCTTTTTAAATTTGTTGATACTAATGTTTTCTTGTTCATAATTAACAACAGTATGAATTTGGACGGGACTCTTGTTTCCATAAGCGTACAGAGGACCTAGTCATCAGAATCACAATGGGGTAAAAACCGCGTTCCGTTTAATTTTGTCCTGATTTGCGAACCAAAAAAGTACAGAGGTGGAAAGCAGGTCAAAATTTTCTATGCCGTCAACCGTGTGGGGTCGTGAGAAAACCCCCTACCCAGATCAACGGTTGAAGAAATTTCGACTTGATTTCTCCCAAGAACTTGATAATAATCTATGGTTATAAAACCGCGTAACCCTCAAATCCTCCTCTTAAGTAAAGTGGTAGGAATAGATTTATCATTTATAAAAATATAAATTTAAATTATTTTTTAAAATTATAAATTAAAATAAATTACTCATTTTTTAACTTGTCATATTAAGTTTTCATTAGTCATGTAATTATTTTTTAATAAAAAGTTGACGTCATGTATTAAAAAATAACTTATTTATCTTAATTTATAATTTAAAAAAATAATTTATTTTTATATTTTTGTGAAAGATGAATATGTTCTTACTACTCTATTTAAGGG